TCTTATCTCCGCCTTAAAGGTAGCCCCGATTATTGCTGACTTAAGCATCGGAGTGTCTACCCCGAGTTCAACCTCGGGGCTTTGCAGGTCATCTCAGAGTGCAAGCGCGGACTAAAGAAGGACTTCTGGTTTGGTGCAATTACACAGTCTTAGAGCCTTTTTAGAATACGTTACAATTAGGATTTTTAACATTCCAAGATGGGATACAATTAGAGTATGGCCGGTGATGGCAATAAAAAAATTAAAATATTTTTAATAAGTTAAGTGAAAATAAAATTTATTGGAAGTTACTTAAATAGTTTCACTGATATATTCTAACATATTCTGATTTTTACTTTTTCTTCCAAGATTATATACTTAGATTGCAAGTAAGTTTCATCTTTCTATATATTTCAATTGTCATTAGAGAGAGATAATATGAAAGAAAGTATTAACAACTTTTAGTGAATTGATCATGTATGTCAAACACCTTGATTCATATTAAAAATCAAGTTTTTATTGGGATATTTATAACACTTCCTCTTTCCCCGAAAATTTCTCTTGTTCAAAAAGAAAAAAAAAAGTGAAAGAAATTTACAACCACTCCCTAATTGTGTGTGGAGGGGTTGAATTGTGGTCTTGGTTCTCATTTTTTATCAGCAAGCACAAGTAATACTTCAATGCTTTTATTGAATTGCGGTTTTATTGGTGTCTTTTGTTTTCAATCCAAAATGGTGCATAGTCACCAGGCTGATACAATATGTATTTTTGGATGAGCAGGGACCTGTTACTGAAGAAGATATTCGAGCTTATTTATTGGAAAAGGGCCTGTACTTTTTTTTGAACAAGGGAGAGTTTTGGAGAAGGGAGAAACTATTACAAATGTCTAATAAGGATTTGAATCTTGACATAAATTAAGATGTTTGATGCACATTACCAGTCCATCAGGAATTACTAGTGAAGAGAAAGGGCCTGTACTTAACCACCATATTGTTGCCAAATTAACTTTGGCTAAAATCAGCAGATGTGTGCTCTATTCTCACTCCTCACTTATTTCTATGCATGTATCATGCATGTGCCATTTGGTTGTACATTTGTCTCTGTTTATGTGATTGAATTATTCATTTACGCAGGGCAAGAATGCCTTCGCAAGCATCCTGAGAAAAATCAGTAAACCACAACTGACACCTTATGGTGTCTTTTTCTGCTTGAGGGGTGACGACCTAAGACTAGAATATGAAAGAAAACTCCCGAAGACGTTTTTTTTTTTTTTATGTTGGTTGTACAATAAGAGGCAATATTTTCATATTTCTTATCCTACGTACTCCACCACATGCCATGCAATTTGAACTTAAAACTTCTTACTCCCAATAGAAGAAAATTACTACAGTTGTTGGCAAACTCTTGAAGACTTTTGCTCAGATTCGACAATTAGAATAATTGAATCAAAGATGGTTTGGTCTTCTTTTTCTTCAATAATGGACCATAACATGAAATAGACATGGTCTATTTAGTGTGTTTAGTTATAGGAAGAACGTTGTTATTTGCTCAATTGTCCTAGTTTAATTATGCATTTATTTTTATGTTATGGATTTTTTTTATAATATATTAATAGTAATTAACTTTTTTTGATAAGTAAAAGTATTTAACAAAATTTCTCAAAAACGTATTTAACAAGATTTCTAAAAAATATATATATATTTAACAAGATCTATGTATAAAAAAATAAAAGCTTATGTGATAGTTCTAACATGTATATTTGGCATGACAAGTGGCACCCTTTTATACCTTTGATAGAGGCCTATAGTTAATAAAATTATGAGGCATAATGTGCATAGGTATTAGTCTCTTTAAGCATATGATATACTTTATAAATTTACTTTTAAAGTGTTTTCAGATAATTTTTATATATTTCGAAACTAATTCATTTCAAATAACCTTAAAGACAGGTCACCTAAATCATAATATTGATATGATGTTAATCTTAAGGTTTAAATTTTGAACTTGATATATAAAACAACACTTATTTACTAGTAGATCAACCTTTGGTTACAAACCCACTCTCTAGACAACATTTGTTTGCCCTATCTGCTCAAGTATGATAGCCCATCCGTTGCTCCCTTTGTTGCAATTTTTGTATAGCCAATTGTGAGTCTGATTCCACTATAAACTTTCTATATCCCTTTTCCCAGGCTAGGCGTATATCCTATCCCAATGCAAACAATTCAGCTCAGATTGCAACTCCTCTCCTCAGCTCCAGCTGCTGACTAAATCCAAAAATCCAGTTTCATTTTTGGACTTAGCTGATGCATTTTGAAAAAGTTTGAGGGTTCAATATTAGAAACTTGGTAGGCTTAATTGGGATATTTCTGTATCTTTGAGGGCGAAAGTAAATTTTACGTTAAGCCCTCCAATAAGCATAAACCCATACCGACCCAGAAGAGTACAGGCAGCCATGGCGGACCAAGAAGTGCTCGACCCCGCCGCCCCCCCGGCCCTCCACCTTCTCTCCGCCTTCCTGGCAACGGAACCGGGTGAATCCATCCTCTCCCTTGCGAGGTATGTATTTGAACCTCTAATTTCACCAGCTTCTGCTGCATTTTAGTATTTTGGATTCTCTGCACTGAATTGATGATTATCTTGCAGAGCGTGTGGAGGAGGATCACTAACGGAGACTGTGCAGAGGTTTGTTTGGGATCATCTTCTCAAAACCGCTGTGAGCAATATTTCCTGTGTTGTTCATTCACACACAAACATTGTTCTTTTTCTTTATATATTGCAAGATTCAGACTTTGAATGCAATTTTACAATTATATTGTTGTTTAATAAGGTTTATGTTCATGTAAATTGCAATTTGAATTTCTGGACATGCACATGAGTTTCCTTAATTCTTAAATCTTAAGTACATGTTTGGTGATGGAAGATTCTTTAATTTTAAACAAATTAAACCTTTCTTTGTATTTTTTTTACTTATGTATAAAGCTTGGTCCAGTTTTATGATCAATACAGGATGGAAATGGGTGTGCACCATACATGAAGAAATTTTTAAAGAAGCTTATTATGGAAATTGAATCAAATCATGGCAATGTGTTGGATGAATTGTATGAACAATATGCTTCTTACATGACCTCTTTGAAGGTAAAGTTCGGATTCTAGGGGTTTGTTGCAGAAATTTGTCTGCTTGACACTGTGTCCCTTAAGGGCCTTAATGGCTTATCCATTGCGTATGATGGGATTTTCACCATTTTTTAGGAAGATAATATTGTCAAAGAAAATGCAAGGGTCTGCAAGTGCCTTTCCTTTCTGTTTCCTAGTGGTAATTTCTATTACTTGGATGATGAAATAAAGTTTGTCTTTCAATACTTGACCGTTTAGTTACGATGACCCAATTCTTAATCTGTGGTTGGTGATTTTAGGTTGCTCTGAACTTCAGAGTTGTGCAAGGCCAAGAAAGGTGATTGTTCCATTGCAGTGTTCACTCAACATGCTTGAAGGAGACACTGGGTATGATTCATGGTTGATTTACTTCTCTTCTTGAAAGTCATGCCTGAGGAACTGCATTTTTCATATCCCTAAGCTTATGATTATGATATGATACTCTATGAAGTTTAGGACAGTAATCGAGCTCATACTTTGCCACCATTTAGGATGGTGCATTACAAACAGTAGTGTGTTATGATGGGGTGGGAATAGGGAATTTTGATACTAATCTCAAATAGAATCTTTTAAGCTCCCAACTGCTCTAGAATTGTATCTACCTGGAAGGGAAATGCATTATTATTTCTTTATTGTAAATTGCTTCAGAAGTATTGCCTGTATAATAGTTGAAAACATTGAGATTATTATCTATTTACCTTGACTATTCAAATTGGTTCCGTTTTTTCCCTCTTTTTTTTTTTTTTTTTTTTAAATTTTTATGAATGTATTCTTTTTTTCCTTTTTCCTTTTTTCTTTTTCCTTGTGTATAAAAGTTTTCCAGATATATTTAGTATAAACTAATTTATATACTCTGTTTATATTGAATTTGGTTCTTTGTAGGTGTTCAATTTGGCCCTCCAGTCTTTTTCTATCAGAGTTAATACTTTCCTTTCCAGATATATTCTCTGAAAAATCATGTTTTGAGGTATGCTACTTCTGCCAAATATGTTTCCCCTGGAATTATGATTTCCAGCTTGAATAATTAATTTAACTGATAAATTAGGTGTTATCTTAATCTTCTCTTACTGATTTAAAACTCACTATATCTTTGACTGATCCCCAATATTAAGGGTACTTGTTTCAGTATCTTGTGCTATATTGTTCGCATTATTAGTTTCCTTATTCTCTTTTTGATTCATAGCAAGTACCTATTGTAATATGCCATGTATCATCTTAAGTATTTAGCAGTCTATTTTTACTGAGTTTTCTTATGCTAACCAGAAAATTCAAACAGGTTGGTTCTGGTGTTGGTTTGGTTGGAATTTGTCTTGCTCATGTAAAAGCCTCCAAGGTTGGTTAGTTAACACTTGCATTTGAAACATTAGCGTTACTTTCATTGAATTTTGAAAATGACATATTTTTCTAACATTCACTGCTCACTTGTTATTGCTGAAGATTTTGTTAGTTACCCCCTTTTCATTTCTCTTGGAAAAGCATTCTATGACAAGAGTTGCTAGAAATATAAGATTGTTATTACCATATCCTTGGTCTGAAAATTTTTCTGTAGGAGTTAGTTGTTGGATCCTTCTTTGCCAAGCATTTTAAACTACTGACTTATAATTACACGCAAATTTCTCTGTATTAGCCAGCTGTTCATGAGGCTATTTTGATGACAAGTAGAATATGTATGCATGTCATTTATTTGGTATTAGTGTTGGTTAATATCTTGTTTCGTGTGGTGACTCTTGCTGGATATGGGATTGTTTCTTACCCATTGCATTGTTATCACACTTTACCTTTCATTAATCATTAGAAATTTTGAGAATTCAAATTTCTTTGATTATAATAGAGAGAGCACCATGGAAATTGTTACTTGATGCAGGTGATACTAAGTGATGGGGACTTGTCCACTTTAGCTAACATGAAGCTTAATTTAGAGATGAACCAGTTGAACACTGAAACTACATTGTCAGAAACAACTTCCGAAAATCCAAGGGTGGTGAGTTCTGACCATGGGAGTTTTATTGCTCTCTGTGCTCCTACTTTAGATAGATGTCTGGTTGTTTTGTTTCTTAATGTCAATTTTCTGTCTGCAACTTTGTATTTGTTCTTCAATAAGATATTTGGCAGATATCCATGAAAGAACTGAATGGATAATAATATCAATGTTATAATATATGCAAGTCACAATATGAGCTTCATGTTTGTGTTATCAAATAGATATTAGTAGTGACCAGAAATTTGTCAGAAATGCCATCACTATATATTGGTGATCTTCTTTTTATTTTTTGGGATCACTTACATGCAAAATTTGCAGCTCTGATATTACTTTGTGAAATTATTATGGTTTAGATATAGTTACCTCAAAATACAAATGGATTATAGCTTGTGCCATCCTAAAAATGTTCAAAACTCTGTAATGAAAATAGGAGCAGGAAATTATTATATCCAAATGAATGCTGAAATAAATTCCCAAATGCAGGTAAAATGCATTCATCTGCCATGGGAATCTGTATCAGAGAGTGAGCTCCAAGACTACATGCCTGATATTATGTAAGTTTCAACTTATATCTAATATTCACTTGTTTACTAAGAGCAGTACTAGCTTGAAGTCTAACTAACATGGTTCTCTAGTTGTAAAGGAGGCTGTTAAGCTAATAATTGTGCTCAGATAAATAATACTTCTAGTTGGACTGCTGATTCATTTTTCAATGTCTTATCCATCATTGGCTCTTATCATTTCTTTGTACAGTTTGGGTGCAGATGTGATCTATGATCCATCTTGCCTTCCCCACCTTGTTCGAGTACTAGCCATTCTTTTGAAAATGAAATCATCATTTACAAAGAAGTCAGAAGAGGGTTGTGAGAACCCCTCAAACCATATCAAAGCAAATGGTGTCAGCCAAGGAAAAGATCCCCATCTAAATGGTTTAGACAGATCAAATTCTTATGCAAACAGTGTCATATCAAGCACAGGTCCCATGGCTTATGTTGCTACGGTCATTCGCAATATCGACACCTTCAACTATTTTCTTGAACTGGCTAACCAGGCTGACCTTACCGTAGCAGACCTAACTGGGGTAATGAGACCCCTGGATTTACTTCCTTACATGCATTCTTATGATCGATCAACTATTCGATTATTTTCTTTATCATGCAAATGATTTGATTCGTGTGCTGTAGAAATTTTGTATTTCTGTGCCTTTTTTCATTAGGGACATCAACTTGGGAAGTTTTTGGCTTGTTATAATGATTCCACAATTAATCAATTATTACTCTTTTCTTTTGTATTAGACAAAGTGGTTCAAGCTTGTAGGGAATGAAGGTTGGGGAGGAAAGCACATGTTCAAATTTTTGTCATGAGAGAGTGAAAGCTTTTTATATATTAATGATAAAGTCACTTGTATTTCTAAAGCTCCATAATATGCTCAATTGTTGTTGATGTTGTTTCTTTTTTTTTTTTAAGTAAACTATGGTCTGCTCTTAATTTGTTATATTTGAAACTCTTGATTTAAAGATATATTTTTTTCTCTTAAAATAACATTTCTTTTACATATTAAAACAACTTCAAATGGAATATAACTTGAAGATTTAATAAAAATAAGGATACAATATTTCTATAAGTTTTTAATTGAGGGTATGATTTTTTTTAATTAATTAAGATTACTATTTTTAAAAAAAAATTTAATTAAAAATATAACCTTTATAAGTTTACTAATAAATGATTAAGTGGGTGTGCCTGCTGACATGGCTAATGGATTTTACTTAATCCTTGGTTTGCCCTTATTTTTTCTAAATAATGGTGATCATGTTTGCACACATATTCGCTTAATTCTTTGTTAGTAAAATTTAAAAATCATATCATTGATTGGAAATTTTTGAAAAATAATAACTTTAATTAGTTACAAAAAAATCTCATATCCTTAATTAGAAAATATTAGAAAGGTTGTATCTTTATTTTTATCAAATCTCAAATAAGTATCTCATGTTTTAGTATTTACCCTTCTCGAATTACTATCCTTAATTGGATTCAATAGTACTAAATTAAAGTTGAGAATTAAAGTTGAAATTTTCTCATTTCAAATTTAGGAATGCATGTATACAAATAAGAAATTAACAAAAATGTTAAATGCTATTTAATGTATTTCTAATTTTGAAAAAGGAAAATTTTCTCTCAGGTTCTCATTTTGGATGTTTGAATTTGATTTTCAATGTTTTCTAATTTTGGATTAGTGTGGATTAATTGTTCATTTTAATTTAATGCTAATGAAGCCAAATAAGAATAGATCAATAGAGCATTTTGGGATTGTTTAAGTTTTTAAGATTTTTAAAAATTATTTTTGAAACTCACCTTAATCTGAAATTATCTTTTTGAACCTACTTACTTTTAAAAATTAGTCCTTAAATTTTTATTTAAAATTTATATTTAAAAAGTTTGAAAGTCAAATTAAAATATCCACAGGTTTTATATATATATATATATATATATATTATAGCCACAATTTTTTATCTTATTTTTTATAATTTTTATATATTATTAAATAAATATATATATTTAATATTATAAATTTTATATAAATAAAAAAATTAATCAATTAAATAACATATCAAATAATATAAAAAAAATAATAAAAAAAATTATCTTAAAATATTCTTCTCCTTTCAAACAAAAGGTTCGAAATCATTATCTTTTGTTTTTCTAAACAAGAGGGGTCCACCATGTAGGCCCACATGAGGACCCCAGGAACACAGCTGTGCAGAGTGCAATGTCGTGATTCCACTGGATTATTTCTGCCATCTTCTGCTCAATCTCCAGCCTGACGCCTACTCCCTGCCCCCTGCCCCTGTTCAAATCTTGCAACACTTCAGCAAGGTTGGCTGAAAATGGGAGGGGAAAAGCAGGAAGAGATTGAGGTTGTTCACTCATGGTCTGCTCCAAGATCCCTCAGCACCAGTGTCATGTACTCTTTTGCCCAGGTAACAATCATTTCTTCCACTGCTTTTTTCTGGGTCCCCTTGTTTGGTTTCTTAGAAAATTGAGAAAGATGAAGAGGGTCGAAGTAAATTTTCAATCTTGATCTTGCATTAGTGATGGTTGGGGGAGTGGTTTAGATAATTGAACTGCTTATCAAATTGTAAGCAATCCATAATCTTTGTGGGTCAGTTTAATCCATAGTATTTGTATTACATTGTTCAATTTTGGCCATAGATTTACTTTACATATACTTGAAGGCATCCAGGGAAGACTGATTAAGAGCTTAATCATAGAGTGATAGTATAATTTTCTGAATTCATGTTTGGATTAAATTTGTGTGCTTAGAACACAGGCAGACTGCTATGGGGCTCACGGCCACTAAAGTTGAAACTGAGTACTATCATAAACTCAATTCATAGTGGTAAAATCAAGACTTCAACATGTGGTATGTTAATATATTAGCATATTCATGACGCATGGATATGCCATAACATTCTGTGAAGGTGAAGCCGTAGTCTTTATTATGTTTCTTCATTGCTAAAGTGTTCTTTCTTTTGTTCTCTCTTATTCAATGGGCTTAGAGGGATGACATGGAAGTGCTTGATGAGCCGCTCTATGCAACTTTTCTTCGTACGACAGGCATTGAAAGGCCCTACCGAGAAGAGCTTCTATCCCAGATGGTATGTGAAATGAAGTCTCATGAGCCCCTCTATGCAACTTTTCTCGGTGCAACATGCACCCTCCCCCACTTTTGAAAGAAAGCTTGGTTACGTTTTTTTTTTGTCAAACTAGCTTCTCCAATTTTATTTTATTTTTTTATTTCTCATGTTTCACTTATATAGGATAAAATAGGGAAAAAATATATTTTTTGATAAAGCAAAATATTATTACTTTGACATATGTACTCCAAACCCCATACATCATTATTTCTGGCTACAAGCACTGTAGATACTTACTTTTCCTGACACCAAAGTATGACTTTTTATTTGGTTTATTTATAGAATAGGGGTTTTGGGGGATGTTCGTTATGTTGATATCAACAATATAATTTTTTTGGATAGTATGGGTATCCAAACCTTTGGCCAGATTAGCCACATGGGCGCCTTCAAACACTCCACCTAAGGGTGGTGGGCATGGCCTGTTGCATGGCTTACTACCACTAGCATACCTAATGTTTGTTTTAATTTATTACACTATATTACCTCTTCTTTTTCAGAAATTGGTCATATTTTCTTTTGTCTGCTCTTTAGAATTTAGACCTGTATCTTTTCTTTCCTTTATCTTCCTGTTGTTTTTCTTTTATGCATTTTATGCTTTCTTTTCCTCTGTTTAACCTTACATTTTTTTTTTTTCCTTGTGAACTTAAATAGGAATCTGATGGTGATAAGGTTGTTAAAGAGATCATTTATGGTCCTGGAAGAAAGAAATATCGATTTTGTAAGGTAATCTACAAGTTTTTCCATAAAAATATAGAAGTTTTTGCAAAACCTAGCTAGCTGCTGACTGCCGTAGCAAGAATTTTCTTTTCTGATTAGGTTGTGTAATGAAATTATTTTGTTAAGCTAGAACTCATTGAATCTGCTGGCATGGTTAGCATTGAGGTGATATTTAGTGAACTGAATCTGCCTTCATTTCTACAGCACATAGCTAAGCAACGACTAATTGGTTTGCCAAAGGACTTAATGAAGAAAGGAAAGCACTTTATATTGATACGGAATCCCCTCAATATACTAGTAAGATTTTTTAACTTAGTTTATGTTTGAAAGTGATATATTATGAAAAGGAATTGAAAATATTTATGAAGAGTTTGTAGTACCAAGAAAGAGCCATAATTTGTCCTTTGTGTAATTTTCTAATCTCATAGATATGTTGCCTATATATTTACAATATTTTATTTGACATGTCTTGCCAGCCATCCTTTGACAAGGTTGCACCTCCATCTTTGCTTGAGCTAGGTTTGGCAGAACTGGTCTCTATATACAGTGAGCTATATGAATTGGGAAAGGCCCCACCTGTCATTGATGCCGAAGACGTTGAACAGGATCCTGAGGTTGTAAACCTTCTTGAAATTACATTTACCAACAGGGCCTTTCTTTGTTTAAGACTACCATGATAATCCTTAAGAATCTTGTCATAAAGCTTCTTTCTGAATCTTACAATGAGTCATCCTTTAACTAGCTGATTTTGTTTCAGCATTATGATCTGCTTGAGTGAAGACTGATTATTTCTTTTTTTCCTCTATCTCTTCTTTTTTTGATATTCTTGTTATTCACTTCTCCGCAATGATTATATGGTTACTTTTACTTAAAACTTCATAATTCTCTACATCTGATTTTGTTTTCATCATATTGAGTGTAGGGTACCCTACGTGGCCTTTGTGAAGATTTGGATATTCCTTTTCAAGAAAAAATGCTTAGGTATGTAAAAGAATCCACTTTTAGGGTATAGTTCTACCTATAGATTGACATTAGTGTGTGTTCTTTCCTTTTCTTGAATGACAAACTCTACCCTTAATCCATAATTTGCTTAAGCTTCTTCATCATCATGTCTTTTTTGACAAATCAAGTAAAAGGACTACCCAGTTAAACTCATTAAAGCTTTTCTTGACTTATAAAGGTTGGTTTGGATGGGTAGTGTTTTTCTTTTCTGTGGATTTCAGTTTAACAAAAATTTTTCTGGCCTACCTCTTATCCATAATTATAATTACACTACCTTCTATGATGTCTAGATCCTTTTCTTGTCTGCTTAAATCATTTCCTATGAGAATCTTCCCTTCATAAAAGTTTATTAAACTTGATTGACTTTTACTTGAGTTGCTGTTTATACATTTTAACATTTCATGTTTAATGTGGCATATTCATTATCAATTTTCTTTTGTACTGAACTTATGATTCCTTCTCTGTGATGGTTTTTTGATGCAAACGCTATCAGGTGGGAAGCTGGTCCAAAACCAATAGATGGCATTTGGGCTCCATGGTGGTACAAAAGTGTGCATAAATCAACAGGTTTTGCACCTGTGAGAAAGTATCCCAGGGTACATGGTTTTTCACTATATTTATTTATTTGATAATAAATTGCTATTAGT